GTGGACAAGCTTCTGTCTTAGTGTATTTTTGGGGTTTGAAGTGTGCACCTATGGCTGAAGATCCTCCTGAGTTAGAGTCTATCATTTTATTGCCATCCACTGGTCATCCAGGGTTTTGTTGCAGAAACATGACAGCCCTAGTATATATGTGTGCCTAAAGGAAAACAATGTGGTATATGTATGTACTGTATATGGAAGATAGAATATGCATACATATGGGGGAATTAGTGAAGTTTACAGATATTGTTTCACAGGCAATTAACATAGTCAATAAATGCCAATAAATCAATAATGTTATCATTTTCCCTTTCAACTATTCGTTTTTGGGAGTATATTCTCCAGCACTACGTTCAAAGGTTTATGTGGCCCTTTCTTGCCTCATCAAGATTATGTACCCTGGCATAAATAAGTTTCAAAGGAATAAGGATTTAAAAAGTAGAACAATACTAACAATGGACAGGGTCATCCTGTTCCAGGTTTTGAGTGGATTTTCTGGAGAAAGGGTTGGTTATGTAATTTTATTATGTATAGCACAGTGTGCAAAATTCTTTGTTTGCTTTGTTTGGTTTGCTCTTCAATCACAACAAACTGCAAACACATCTCTAAATCAGTTATAATTCTTTTAGTCACTCCCAGCAGGGTTAACGGGGCCAGCGGGGGGGTTTTTTAAAATCAAAATTCTCTCTCATCAAGCCAGAGATTGCTGTATAAAATCACACATCTCTGCCGATAAGTCAATTATTTGCTGTATGCAATCAAAATTGGAATGGGACAATTCTCTGCGGCCAACTTGTCACAACAGCCGTCTTGTCATGGTGACCTCACCATGCCCATCTCGTTGTGGCCATCTTACTGCACGCATCTCACCATGGCCATCTCACTATGACCAACTTGCCACAGCCAAGTCACCGTGGGACAACATGCTACAGGGCTATTACACCTGGGATAATTCAATGCGATAAATATTATCTGCCCCTGTTACTTCAACATTATTTCCATTGACAAAAATGGAAGTAATGTAGATGAAACAGTGGCAGATAGCATTTATTGCATTATTTCGATGTGGATTGTCCCATGGTGCATTGTCCCATGATGAGTTGGCCACAGCAAGTTGTCCCGCAGTAACTTGGCTGTGGCGAGATGTCTATGGTGAGTTGGTCCCCGCCACTTAAATCATTATGTTCAATGTGAAATGAAACCTCTGTCACTTAGATCAATTAGTGGTAAAATCAATGCCTGTCTCAGGCAGGCAGAGGTTGTTTAAAAAAGCTCAACTCTCAGATTATACTTTCTGGAATCTGGCACCACTCTCCCAGTGGTGCTTCCTTGCTACTTCCTAGTCCATGGGTGTCAAACTCACAATGTCATGTTCCTGTCACATGATCTATCACGTTATTTTCCCTTCGCGGAGCTGGGATGGGTATGGCTGGTGCATAACGCATCCGGCCTGTGGGCCGCCAGTTTGACACCCCTTTCCTAGTCTCTGACATCATGTAGCAGGTAGCAGCAACATTCATTCCCATGGTTGCTTATTCTTGAACTTGACTGACAGCCATGGTTTGTTACCATCCACTGTCATCTGCTGCTACTGCCTAACAGTATCCTTCCCCTACTAGTACTATATGGTACTGGAGACAACAATGCCAGATATTTTGGGGCAATCTTTGCAACTGGGACTAAAAAAGAACTATTTGGGGAAAGCCAAATGCATGATAACTCCATCAGTGATTACAGTAATTGGCTTAAATTGGCTAATTGTCTACAAAAAAAATCACAGCTGACAAGCATTTTTGCAGCAAGGTTAAGGATCACTGCAGCAAAGTTTTAGGTCTGTTTTAGAAAACAGTTGCTATAATATCTTCATTAGCTGCAAAATATTCTGATTATTATTCCAAAATAATTTATGACCAAGGTGCAATTTAAAGAAATTCTTTATTCCTGCTTAATACTTTCATCCCAATGTTTATATTTATTTATATTATTTGTATCCCAGCAATTTGGCGGTAGAAAAGGAATTCAAGATAGGTGGATTTAGATCTCTTGTGGAAGAGATCTTAGATCTGAGTGAAGGGACTCATGATTCATGATGACCCTCAGGTTCAGCCTGGTCATCTCCTGCAAACAGGTGGCCAACCTATTTTCTAAAGCAGTGGTTCCCAAACTTGGCAACTTTAAGACTTGTTAAGCAGAACTGGCTGGAGAATTCTGGGAGTTGAAGTCCACAAGTCTTAAAGTTGCCAAGTTTGGGAACTACTGTTCTAAAGCATCAAAGAGCAGGACAAGAATGGGTGAATAACCTAGAAGTCCAACCTAGAAGTAAGGAGATATTTTGTGACAGTGAGAACAATTAATAAATGGAATAGTTTGCTTCCTGGAGTTGTGGGCACTCCATTAATGGAAGTTTAAAAAATAGACTAGACAACCATTTTGACTGGGAAGGTGTAAGATCTCCTGCCTTGAGCAGGGTCTTGGACTAGAAGACCTCCGAGATCCCTTCCAGTCCTGATTCTATGTTACCATGAGTAATGCAAAAGATGAAGATATATGGGAAAGGCAAGATGTCTGATTTTTTCTAGTGTGCTTTGACATGTTAGTGTCAATCTTCAGATTTACCTTCCTCTCCAGGGAAGCTAGTTTTAATCAGCACAGCAAATATATCTCATCCCTATTACATATGCAGTTTATTAATGAAGATGTGCTATGCGCAACTGACCACATCCTAGAAAGACTAGCTTTAAAATATTCATAAATCACGCTAAGGAAACTTGTTTCAATTATTTTATTTGAATTCCATCCTTTTACCAGGAACAAATGATGATATGGAAAAAAAAAGAACTTTTCCTAAAATCATGACTGCTTGTGGCATCCAGGGAAAATGCCAAATCAGTCTCAAGCAGCAAATTATTGGGCTGGTCACAGGGATACTCATGGGAGTTTAAAAAGAGACTCTGCAACCCAATATATTTTCATTAAATAAATAGTAATACAATTGGCTGCAAATTTTGACTATTTTTCTCCAATTCAGGCCCAATTCAGTTTGCTATGACACCTTCCTGTCTTGCTGGATAATAAGTAACTTTGTGTAGTGAAAAGAACATGTGGATAGAGAATAACTAGAGTTAGGAGTATAACTTTCACAAATAGTATAGTATTCTTAAGGCTGTTGCTTGTTTGAAATAAAAGTAAAAACAAGCTTTATTTAGGAAAACTGGGGCTACTGAAGCCAACCTACTGCTAAGAATCTATAGTGCAGTCATAAGCACTTGAATCGCAGAAGTCAGAAAGAGAAGAAAAATAATAATCTGAATGAGAAGTGATGAAAAATCTGAAAATATCAGTTTAACCAATAAGTGACACAGTGCACGCATGTTATCCAAAGAAAAACTTTTAGACAAGGAAAGAAGATAAAACTGCAGTTTTCCCACTATCTCTGCAGCGATCACCCTTAGTGAAGAGTTTGTAGGTTGATAAAGTGGGCACACGGAAAGTTGAATTCAGCCCAGACTACCACAATCTTCTTCCTGGTAACACAAAACAGTGATTTTGTTCATTCTCAGTTCAAACCTAAGCCACAATTAAGTGTATAAACATACTTAATTGTAGTGGTGGCGGCTCCGCCCACCCACCCAAACATCACATCCCATTTTTTATGCTCTGCGCATTTCGTATATGTTCCAAAGTACATGCTGTAAGAAGAAATGAAACCTACCACTCACCCCACCCTACCCCAGGTTATACCAAATAAAATATTAACCATAAGGAAAAACCTCAGAAAAGCCAAAAGTCCAAGACACTAATAAAAAAAAATCTGCCTGAAGTCCATTCCACATTCCAGCCAGACACATAAAGAAAACATTGTAACAAGAAACTAACTGCAGATGCTGGCTGTCAAGGCGATAACAAGATGATTGAAAAAGGAAGGCAACTATCTAGATGGCTCCATTCATAAGCAAAGAAGCTAACTGCAGATGCAGCACTCGAGGGGGATAACGAGCTGATTGAAGCCAACTATCTAGATGGCTTCATTCATAAGCAAAGCAAATACTGCTGGCAGAAGTCCATTCAAGACAGGATATTTTGAAACCTCTTACAGCAATTTCAACAGCTAACAAAAGCAGAGTGATAGGATCAGAACAAGCAGCCCCTCACCAAAAAATCTAACACAGGACATAGCCATCAGCCACAATAAGCATTACTCAACACCCTTTCAGAGCACAAAGCCTATATCACACAAATCCCAACCTTCAAAGTTACACAACTATACAAGAACCCTTCCATTCACCCAGTTGGTTGATCGGCTGCCCCAGAACCACAGGTTGGTTCTGCTCTTCAATGAACAGTGTTTTTCTTTCCAATCGGCCTCCATGTTATTTCCAGCGTCTTTCTCCCAGTTTGGAACTAGAGCGGGTGGATTTTTCTTCCAACAATGCTAACTAAAATATTCCAAGCCCCTCTTACTTACAACACTTGTGCTTCCGCTTTCCTCCTCCCAGCTTTTATATATATAACATACATTTCCTAATTAGAGGGGGGGGGTGTTCTTAATAAAAGCTCATCAAGGGGTAACTCCTGACTTCATCTGCATTCAGAGGCAAGCAGAATGGAGCTGGTAAATCCCAGGATGGGAGATCAAGGAAAACTAGGGCTGCATCCTACACCGAGGCAGCTAAAACAACTACTACAACAACATCATCGCGGAAGAAGGCGGTGCCGACCTCTTTCTGTAACCAGGAAACTTTAAGAACACAATCACGGCGTCGCCACTTTATTCCGAGAGGCCCATGCGTCGCAGGCTATCTACTAAAAGTCCAGGTCTGATTAAGCGCGCCAAGTTTAACGGGCACAGAAAGGCAATTGGCTCGTGGGGCCTTGCTGGTAACACAAAGTTCCTGCCACTAGGGAGCGCTGTTAGGGCGCCACTTGGACTTGAAGGCAAGGCTGCTTGGGAGCCGCGGCGCGTCGACGGATGAGCCTACACTACGCGCAACTGGTGGCGGGATCCTCCTCCTCCTCTTCCTCCTCCTCCTCCGGGAGGGAACCTTCCTATCTCGCATGCCGGGCGGCAGAGACAGCAGCAGCAGCACCTCTTCTATCCAACCGAGGGGACGAAGTTGGAAACAGCAGACCTCAGGGGGCAACGGCTTTACCGCCGCCGCCGCGAAACATGCGGGCGTCTCCCCAGTTGCCTCGCTGTGGGCGCCAGACGAGAGGCGGGCAGCAGCCGAAGCCGCGCGTGTGAGCGAGCGGGGAGCTCCTCTCCTCTCACAAGGATGCTGGGGGACGATGCCTCGTGGCAGGGAGGACGAGATTTGCCGGAAAGCGCTGAAACTGCTGGTCGAGCTCTGCTCCGAGGGGACGGTCGAGAACGACAGGTGCCTGGAGTTCAGCTACTATCTGCGGGACAGCGGCAGACCCCGGCCGGCCGACGCAGGTAAGCGGGATGGAGTGGCGGGACGCGGGGAAGGGAAGGACACGAGGGGCTCCCGAGAACTTCCTATATGCCAACCAGACCTCTTCAAATAAGCGGGCGCCCATGCCGGCTGCGCTGGGCGGAGGGGCGCGTCTATCCTATCAACTGCCCGAATGCTGCCCATTGGATCCAGGCGAGCGCGGAAATTCGGGGCGTCGAAGTAGCGCGTGTCCGGCCAACGCGGCTCATCCCCCCCCCTCACCCCCTCCAATTGACTTCGGGTTGGCGTTTACTACCTGGCGGTGTTTGGAGGTGGGAGGGGAATCTGACCCGAAAGAGCAAACGACCCTTTCGTTTGTTCTTAACGTTTTATTCCACGATATTAACATATCTTTATTTCAAGATATTAACGTTGCATGTTAATCCAACGCATTTTTATCCAGCGCACCTTTACATTTTAATATAATTTAGCGGTTTAACCAGATGTATCTTTACTCCAAGCTGAAGCCCTACTACAGAGTTCGGTGGAAGGCACTCTCAGATGAGTTTCGATCAGTGTGAGGAGCCGTCTGAGCTATTTTTAGATCCTGTTGGGTTTCCCAGCGCCGATGCAGTACTTAGTATAGGTATATAGGAAGAAAGGCATCAACCCTTCTCCAATAACTGTAGAATGAGAGGAGATCAGGCTGACGGTGTATTCTTCTGCCTAAAGGCATTAAGTTTGCACACAGCTCTTCCTGAAACTTATAGAGTATGGTATAAACTTCCAGGGCAATTCAAAATTTTCTGGATTATTTATCTCATATCATACACATCAGTAAAAATCACCGTAATAAGAAGAGTGAAATGTGAAAGATGCATTAAGTCTCCTATTAACATTTAAGCAACTGGGGAAATGTTATGCATTTTCACTTGATTCCTTTAAGATGAATCTGGCCATGACAGTAAAGGGAAGCAAATCTTGTTTTTCTTGCAAACCTGTTTTCAGCTGGATTGGACTAGTTGCTCTTGAGTGAGGAGATGCTGTCCCAGCATAATAATAAGCTAATTCATTATTAGTGGTAATAAGTTGTAGCTAGACTGAATATATTTGAAACAAGCCAGCTAACTTTGGTAAACTCAGTTAGCAAGGATCAGGGGAGGGAACATACATATGCCAAATTGTTAGAATGGTGTTTATTTTCCTTCCTAGAGTGATTCTTGTAATATTTCCTTGGAAGCAAATATGATTAAAGAAGTCTGTTTTAAAATAAATGTAAATGTATAGCATGAAGAAGTTTAAAATTGTTTTAGTAAAAATTCATATTGGGTCCATTTATTCTGCAAGTAAGTTTGTTGCATTTAATTTCCAATAGATCAAATACCCATACTAGTGTTTGTGGATAGGACTTATCCTGGATTATATTTTTAGCCTAACAATTTTAGTTTATCTTTTGGATAATGTACTCTTGGACATTTTTATCTTTAAGAACCACCTCGGGGTGCATTGTCGCTGCTCTACTTTCTAAAAGGATATTAATTATTATTCTGTCCTGAAGTCCCAGAACTATTCCCTGAATATTAGGATATACTCTATTAAAAATTCAGTGTTCTCCCTAATACATTTACAATTGTATTTTATCAAGGGAATATTTTCCAGATTACTAACTAATGGCCTAATGTACATTTTTAAGTTGTAATCATAATGAGAGTTTTATCCAGTACACATTCAACCTCTAAAATCTACACATGGATAGTTCTTCTGCATTAGTTACACTGCAGATACAGGTGATGGCCAGCCTAGGTCATGTAGATAGCTACTGAGACACAATAAGCTTCTCTCATGCCTGTATACCACACTTTCTTCAATCTATCTCTTGCATACCCAAGCCATTTACGTTCTTTTTAAAAAATAGTAATATTGTTAAAAAATTATAATTTCAAAGGAAAAAAAACTAATACAAACTAAAAGAATAACATATAGTAAAGAAAAATATATAAGTGAAGTCTTACAGAGACAGACACTCCTAAAATTAACTTCTAAGTATATTATTCCAAAATATCCTTTAATATGTCAAATATTAAAATATTTTGCTTCATTCTGTATTAATAAGACAAATTTAAGAGTTTTTCTTTAATTGTCATCTTTAGTTCCTTATGGTTCCTTATAGGATTCAATTTTCAAAGTCTCAACCTATCATTTTTTAAAGAATTCAAAACAAAAGGATTTTCCCACAGAAAGGACTCATAATTAATTCCAAAATTTTGTTTCAAATTTATCTGGATCCTTAACCCATTTATAACTTTCCAAAATGTAAGTTCTCAAACTTGTACTAAAAATGCTTTTTTCTGAAACATTGAAGTGTGATGGAATATAGTAAGGAGCTGTGATCCCAGGAGGGAGAGGGTGCATTCCAGAGGTTTAAGAAGCAACTCAAACCAGATGTTATATTTGAAAGAAAGAGAGTGAAGACATCCTCTCCCTATTATTTCACAGAGTATATTGTTGATGCAGAGAGTAATGTGCTCAAATCGGCAAGATTTCATCTATAGTTGTGGAGACAATAAATAAGTCAGCTTGGAAGAATGATCATTCATCATTCTTGGATTTGAGCATGACATAAAGAAAACTCATCCAGTGTTTTCAGATTTGTAAATTCCAGGTATTCTAAATTCTAAAGATTCCTAATAGCTAAAAAGCAATTTCAGAAAGTGATTAGAAAAGGAAATAAAAAAGAAGGAATATAAAGTTGGCTTAATTAATTAAGGTTAAATATTTAGGATATTTTTTCTTAATGGGGTTTTTCTTGACCATGATTGAAAGATGGGGGTTTAAATATTTATTTAAAGATTCAGTTTGGGAAGATGTTTTCTTCTTACATTCTCAGAGAAAGTGTTAAACTAAGATGATATGATAACTTTATAATCCATAAGTATTTTGTTAAGATTATTATATAGATGTCATTTCTAGTACATGTTAAATTTGTGAAGGAGTTTCTGAGACAAAGAGAAAATGATCAGAAATCAACTTGTGGGACACTATTTGAAAGGACTACCGGTAATGATCAAGATTCCTGTTTTTTCTGATAGCTGCTAATAGATTTTTTTGCTAGTTTTGAATGATGAGGTTTTAAATATTGATTTATAGATAAAATATAAGATAAAAGAAGATTTTTGTTGTTTATAGAAAATGATAAGTTACTGCGCTAAAAGGAAAGAAATATAAAACCAATTTATATGATTAAGATTAAATATGTATGTTATTTCTGGTAATTTATGTGTACATGAACTCATTGTCCTTAAAAGTGCCAACTATGGTTTGAGCAAGATAGCTATTACTTTGCCTCCCAGAGCTTGAAACCTCCATAAGGAGCAACTCTCTGGAGCACTTATGGGTGATCTCAAGTACTCTCCCTGTCCAGAGAGGAATTACAAAGAGCTGGTTTACTCACCACTTCTTCATTCTTCTGAAATTGTTGGTTCTGTTTTTAGTGGATCTATCTTCAGTTTGCCTTTTCTTCCCTGAAGCCCTGCCATTTACATTTTTATTTTGGTTTAGCAATAGCACTTATATACTGTTTCATAGTGCTTTATTAGCCCTCTTAAGTGGCTTACATAGTCAGCATATTGCCCCCAACAATCTAGTTTTTCATTTTAACAGAAAGATGGAAGGCTAAGTAAAGCTTGAGCCATTCAGAATCAAACTCCTGGCAGTAAACAGTGAATTGTGCATGCAATACTGCATTGTAACCACTGTACACCATAGCTCTTCTTACCTGGAATATTTAGTAGGAAACTCAATGGGGGTTCCAATCTGTTGTATATCTTTGATGGTTTGAACTATGCTCTAGAGAACAAGAGTAAATCAAACTTAACAAAGACAGGAATCTCTCCTATAATTTGAACATTGCTGCAATTTTAACGTAGGGCCTGTAAAAAGTATTAATAGTTTGCACGCATGTCTGTAGTGCATGGCTACAATGTCTAATACTTCTACTACATAGATTGTTACATGCATATCTGTACTGGATTTAACCTGGAGGAAGCCTGAGGGTTACAAATGAAGAATGATCAGGTTTACAGTTTGAAAGATAGGGTAGGTGAGATTTGAATTGGAAATTCAAATCATCTTCCACTTTCTTCTTTATCCCTTTTGCATCTGATGAAGTAAACTCAACTCATGAAAGTTCACGTGATTTTAATAAAGTTTGTTACTCTAGAAAGGTGCTACTAGAGTCCTGCCTTCTCTGTAATCTTTTCCTTCGCCTGAATAAACTTTCTACCTTGGCCTGTCCTGGTCATTGTCTTCATTAGTTCCTTTCAGGTAGTCTTGTGTTTACTCCATTCTGAATTTTTTTTTTCTACCTAACTCAGCTTGTGTGGCCATTGAGCATGGTCTATCTTTTGTGTCAGTACTGTCTGTTAACTTCTGAAAAACAAATGTCAGTGTAAAGATTTCCCCAAACATGTTGATGTTTCTAGTTAGTTGATGACTTTCATTTTGGTTATGCATCAATCATTAGTGGGCCTGGCATAGCAGCAAAAATTGCAAACAAATTATTGCATGGATAAGAGAATCTTTATATATACTTTTCATAGCTTCTGCTCTTTGGGCTACTTAGCTGTAGTCACCAGGACAACAGAACCTGCATTAGAATACAAAGTGGTCCTTTTAAATTACATGGAAGCTTCCACCCAAACAGGCCAAGTTCCATATTGTCTTCAGTCTTTAGTTACGCTGTGCTTTAGTGAATATTTTCTGTATATTGATAGTGGTTCAATAAGAAGAAGGAAAATGTGAAGATAGCATATGCTAGGGGACTGATTAGTCAGTGTAACCCTGCAAATAAATCCACAAATTATATTAGCCAACAATGATCTGCTGTGTTTACATGCATCTCACCTGTATTAGTCATCTGAGGCATAATAACAGCAAAACATAGAAACAGATGTGTCCGTTTTCAAGTGATTTCCTTGGTATCAGGATGTCACAGATAAATATCCAGTCCCACAGATTACATGCAAATATGCCCTAACTCAGT